CCTCTTCCTCCTCCTCCTCTGTCTCTTCCTTCTCCTCTTTCTCTTCCTCCTCCTCCTTCTTTTTCCTTAGTGGAATTTTGTGTTTCACATTGAGTTTGGTTGCAAGAGACTCTGTGCCCAACTTTGCCCTGGGTGGCCCTGGAATTGTGATATATTGAAAAAGAAAAAAATCTCTTTACAATAGGTCAACTTAACTGTCAGATGATGTCATTATTCTTCCTCACTATACTGAGAACATGACTTATAGCACCTGTAAAATAGGTAAGAATGGCAAAGAAATATGGGAACAGTGGAATATTTTGACTTCATGGAGGCATGACACCAACCTTGTACTTTGTAACTCCGAATTCCTATGCATCTGAAAAACGAAACATCCAGGCTTGCTCTTCTCCACATGTCCATACCTCACAGTGGACTGCTAATCTCAACTTTACACATAGATTGAAATCACATTAAATTTACTTAACCGTGAATAACACCCTAATGAATTGTTTTCTGCATAAGCTATTAAGGATGAATTTCCAGGATGGTTTACACAGGTGTCCTTTTATTCATATATGTAATGCATAATCATACTTTTAGTATGCATATCAGTAAATTGAAAATAAATTAATCACAGGCATACCATGCTGGATAATTGGTATTTTCCAATGTAAATGCTAAATATTAAACAGAAAAACATATCAGATTGAAACATTCACAAAAGGGATCAAAGGCTAGATGTGGTGTGGCCCACAACTACAAATCCAATGTATTTAGGAGGTAGAGCTTGGGAAGATCACAGTTTGAAGTTAGCTCAGGCAAAAAATTAGTGAGACCTCATCACAATTAGCTGGGGTAGTGATGTGGCCCATCATTCCAACTCTGCAGAAGGTGTTAAGTACTGGATCTCAGGCCTGAGAACAAAGTGTCTGAGTCTCCGTTACACTCATCCCAGCTCCATAGTGGTATATGATATGTATGGAACATGGAATAATGAAACATGTAAAAGTGTTTTAAAGAGAGGACAAGGATAGAAAGAGTAAGAGAGAGATGAACTTGATCAAAATACATTGTGTGTATTTGTGAAAAAAATGTCGTTAGGAAACATACTTCGTATCATTAATATTTAGTAGTGAAAAATAGGAATAAAGAGAAAAAAAAGAGAAACAATGACAATCTTTTATTTTTTCTTTCCCCACTCTTCTGGGAATGCCTCTTTAGGACAGTGTGTTCAATTCAATTCTGTTCTTTTTCACCGCTCAGTTTCAAATCTGAAATGAAAATTCTGACAACCCAGTCATCTATTGTACCACGTGGCGAGTTAGAATCCCTTGAATTTCAATTGAAAATGGGAAAACTTCTGAATTGAGATAGAATTACCAGGAAGTTCCTTCTCTTGAGTAATTCAGATTTGATGGGTGAATATTTGCAACACATAGTTTAGAAATCTCCTTGTAAAGCATTGATCAGCCAGTTCCTGTCACAGATTACAAGTCAGTTTTAGCTGGGGATGTAATTAAAGTCTCAGATATTTTGATTTTCACAAATAGTAGTTTGTCCTCCCTTGTTGCCTTTTATCCCTGCTCAAAGTTCTTTGCAATTAGCTCATTAGTTCTAGTGGATTTTTAAATACTAATTGTAAATGGATAGACCCTATAGAATTAAATATAAAACAAACAGAATGTTAATGGCCAATTTCATGGATGTATGTGCCAATGGCTCAACCACAATTATCTCAACATGTACATTAATAGCGTGTATATTTTAACTCTCCCCTTATCATGATTCCATGCTTCATACACATTTGTACTACAAAACTACTTTCCTTTTTAATGCACTCATTTCAAATTGTAGTGTTTCCAAAATTTCTACAGATGTCAACTTTACCACTTTGACATATTTTTGTGTATTAATGTAGCAAGGTATTTCTTCTGTGCTATAAATAGCAAGTAGAGTATTTTGATCAAATACTCTAATTGTCTGCATACTATGTAAATCTTTACCAAGTATCTTCTATTATCATTGCATTCTATTACCACTTTGTCATGAATGCTTACAATTTTATTTTGCTCTACTATTAAAAATATGAATTGGACTTTCTTATAGAAAAAGCAGTCCTCAAACACCCCTGACACAGTTTTCAGTTCCACATCTCCCTCCCAGTAATCCTTCAGTATGGTGATCCAGATGTCTGGTGACCACTTTCTTGGTGACGACTAGATGCCATCTCCTTGACTTGACTTGCCCACTTGATCCTCACCTTCGGCAAGAACTGTGGGGACAAGCCATAATAATTACCTCCAGCAACCGCCTGCTTGCTTTAAACACTCCAGTGAATCTCTCCATGAGAAATCTGCTTCGATAAAACGTAGGGCTCTATAAAGGCATTTTCACATGGGCCTGCTTCATTCCATTCCTGCTTGGTTTCTGAGCCCCCTATGTGTGTTCTCTGGGTATCTTTGTATCAAGCAGAGTCTGTATTTATTAGATTTCTGAAGTTTTCACATTATGATTGTTTTCTGGAAGTCTTGCCTACAGTCCAAATCCTGAATACAAAGTCCCTGGAAAGGACCCATGTTGGTATTTGCTCTGCTGGTGGTGCTCTTCTCTTCCGGCAGCTGGTGACTCCTGGAGAGAATAGCTACATCCTGAGTCAAATAAGAAATTGGAAGAGTTTCACTCAAAACCTACTTCAGTCTTGGAAATGCCATTTTATTGAGGAACGGAAATAACAGGAGGTGTTGAAGGACTGAAAGAGGACAAAGATTTATCATAAGCGAAGAAGTGACCTGTAGCATTCCTATAGTTGGGGGAAGATAAGGAGTTATGTAGCTGGCAGGTTCTCTTTATCCTCAGAGACACCCCTCCCTTCAGCTGCCCTGTGGCTCTCATTTTGTTCCTAGTGTGCTGACTTGTGGCATTACTCAAGATAAACAGCAGTGTTGCCTTTATCTGGTCCTTAGTTCCCTGGCATTGTCCTCAAGAAGGAATCTTACTGGGTGGGTTAAATAGCAGAAATTTATTGTTGTACACTGCACACGCAAGGCTAGTTCCTTTGGGGAAGCTGTGAAGAAGCATCTCTTCTATGTTTCTCTTCCAGCTTCTGCTAGTTTAGGGCAAAATATGATGCCCATTGGGTGTAATGTGTCATCACTCTGATTTCTATCTTCCTCTTTATGTGGCATTTTCTTTCTATACTTATTTTCAAATGTCTCCTTTTTAAAAAATAGAAGCATCCCAGTCATATGGGCTTAAGAACCCACTGTGCTCCCGTACATATGACCCCATCTTAAATAAAAAATATAGCCTAAATGATTCTGTTTGCAAATAAGGTAGCATTCATAAGTATTCAGGGAAACAATTTGAAAACATAAGTTTTAGGGAATCACATTTCAATCCATAACTGCCCAATATAAATATTTATGCCAATCGGACTCAAAGAGGTTCAGTGAAGATTTCACTGTTAATTCTCAGAAATATTCTCAACATTCCCTTGTTCACTAGGTAAGAGATAAGTGCACTAAGAGACTAAGCAGTTGCAGTTATTCTGTAACCACTGGGTGGGGATAAGGAGCTACTGAAATTAAATCAAACTTCATGGAACTAGAGACAAGGAATATAGACAGAGATGTCAGTTTGCTTCTTATTAAACATGGAGTAAAGCTATATCTGAAGTCAAATGCTTCCTTAATTGCTTGGTTACTTGAGCTAAAACATTCCCCTTTTCCCCTTAAGCTTGTTTAAGTATAACTTTCTGCAACTTTTGACAGGAACGGAGTCAGAGTTAATATGATTGAATAATAGGATTAAAGATAAGGTGTCTAAGTGATCTGCAAAAGAGAGGAGGTTATGAAATGAATATTTCTTTCTGATTTTGAATTATTTTAGGTAAGAGTTGATGAGCTCCTGCACAGCAATATAGTACATTAAAACTGAACAAACACAAGTGAATTTAATATTTCTACTTCTATGAAATATTTAAATCCCTTTACATGACAGAAATATCTTATTCAAAGGCACAATTTCCTGTAACAACAAATCTCCCTGAAAGTTGTGGACCTACATACTAAACCTGTGCCTTGTTGGAAATAAAGGATTAACAGAGCTCAGGAGAAGACGACTAGCATTGAGACGAACAGGGTCAAGTGCAATCAAGGGTCATAGAAAAGTGGTCTTAAAGTTCTGGGTCAGATGGTGAATTGGAACTTTTCTTCATGAGACTCTTTGAATAAGAAGAGTCAGAGTAACAAAATCTCTGTTTTAAAGGCAGAAAGATGAATCAAGGAAGCAGTGATCATCATGGAGAAACAGAAAGATGATGCAAAAACTGAAGAGAAAGCAGCTCACAATTCCAGCCTTCGCTCCCCAAGGGTAGCTGAAACCACAGGGTAAATTTGAAGGACATGGGAAGGCTGATGACAGGAGATTTGCGATTTGTAGTCCCGGTTATAGGAACAACACTGGATTCTTGCATGCTTCAAGCCCACTTCAGGGAAGAATGCTTTTGCATGTCTCTCCGTAGGTCAGAGTGGCATCAACGAGGGGCTATGGTTCTAGATACAGATACTTTGGAGACTCCAAAACAGGGAGCCTGGGGACACTGCAGTATTTCGTAGAGAAAGAGCCACAAGAGGTGATCCTGGAAAGTGGAGATTCACAAGTTTAGGCATGAGTGAGCTCAGGCTGCCGAGGGCATAGTTGATGGCAAGGAGCAAACCACATTACTTCCAGATTCCTGCAGAGATGGAGAGCTCTAAGTCAATGACCATTGATTTGTCTGCTTTGGAGATGCTTCTCTTTTGTGGGTAGTTTACTGCCCATCTAAGCAGCTGAGTTCAGGCCTGATAAGTCACTCAATCTCCATAACCTCTCCCTCCTGCAGGGTGGTTTAGTGATGGACAAGGAGGGGAAGTATGGAGACTACCATGGAGAGGGGTGTTCCCTTTGTTCTAACCTTCCAGGCAGATCTCACTGCCTATTTGCTTCTCCTACTTTCTGAGGTCTTTGAAAACACCCTCTCACTTAGACTTCTCCCACCGAGTCATACAAAAACTGGCATACTCTTTAGGGACTGGGAACTCAGCCATTCCGCAGGTCACAGTGGAGGTTGATACAAGAATGCCCTCCTCTTCTGTATTTCCAGGAGCATTCTGGAGGCATGTTCCATAGGCCTGACAATCACAAATAAGGAAGGATTTACAAATGAAGGGAAACACAATTTCCTAAGTCATAACGCTATAATTTATAATTCATAATCTTGTATAAAACTTTTCAGCAGAATCCAGCCTGACCGACTCAGAAACCTTTCTAATATTGGCTTTCTCTTCTCCTCGGCCTTACTTGCTCATCCTTAACGTGGTTCCTGAGGGTTACCTCCAAATACCTGCACTAAAACTTTCAACTCAGACTGATTTCTGAAAAGACTGAGGTTACCAAATGATATTCTGTGTTCTGTGTTTACCACTTAAGGGATTTACTTGTCACTGAGAAATTTTTCAACCTTTGCAGAGTGGGGAACACTAAAAAAGAGTGGCTAATGTTTACAAATCAAACGATTACCAAAAGAGAGTGGAGAACATCAACTCTTACAGTTTGGGATGGTATTTAAAATCTTACCATTTGTTTTCTCTGTAATGAACGCCCTGATCCAAAGCCATGCAATTCTGATGAGGTTTCCAAGGTTTATTATGGATGATGAAACATTGTGACTTTTATGCACAGTGTATCTTTTGTGAACTATAAAAAGACCACTTTAAGTTTTACAACTTTGTTAATCTTCCCTTCTTTCTTTTTTATCTCACTTTTTCTTTCCTTTCCTTTCCTTTCTTCCTTTCTTTTCACTCATAAGTTTCTACTACAAAGTATTACCTAGTAGAATTCCAGCAATTCTACTTTTCAGAAACTATGTTAAGAAATGGCTGTTTCTTTGTGTCCAGGCATATTTAAACTGCTTCCAATTGTAGCAAATCTCAAGGGAGTTCAAATGTTTAGTTAGTGACTCAAGAGTATGTGTCATTAAAAATTAAACATTGCTTTGTTTTTTTATGTTTTTGACTGATTTTTCTGTTGTGAGCAGGAAAAATTAGTAGAAATAAATAATATAGCACAAGTTTTAATGAACAGATTCTAAGTGTAACAACTTCTCAAGATAACTTTAGTTGAATATGCTCTGTACTTAAGGGATTTTCTGTCACCATGAAACCTAATTTGGGGAAGAACAGGTTTTATAAAGAAAAGGTTTAAATTTGCATAATTCTAAACCATGAATTGTGATTGTTGAATTCTTTTGTTCACTGTGGTAGACATGTGCAGTTATTGTGGAAAATAAAAAGGGAAATTATAGTCATGGTGGGTTCAAGCAAGCGCTAATGAAACCCAGAGAAAAGCAGTAAGATTTCCAAACTGCTATTTCTTCTCATTTATTTTGTCACTCAGTCAACAAACATTTACTTAGAACCTAGTCGCTGAAGCACTGTTCTAAATGGTAGGAATATATATATATATATATATATATATATATATATATATGTAAATAGACCCAAATCTCTGCCTGACTCGAGACTTGAATTTCATGTGTTTTTGACTTGATATTTCATTAGACAAATTTGTGTGCTATTACCAAGGTAACTGAGAATTACTTATTGCTGCTTGTCTGAATAAATTGTGAAAGAAAATTACAGCAGAAATAGGATGCACCCTGTAAATTATAGTAGTGATACTTCAGCTTCATGTATTTGGGAAGATGCATGGAAACACGAGGCGCATGACAACGAAGGCTACATTGAATAATAAAAGTCATCCCAAGCTTGAGACTGCAGAGCTTGTCTTACAGCAGCGAAGTAATTTAGTAAATCATCAGGTCTGAACTGCTTGGCAGAAAGTGTTGCTAACCCATTTGGAAGCGTCAACAAAATACTTAAAAGATATGATTATTTGGCTAGGCCTAAATTGTGATAAGCTGTGTCTCAGGGTGTTCAAGAAATTAAAACCAAATGGACATTTTAATAAGAAATGTAATATCCGGACAGGCAATTCCTTAATAGACTTTGATCTAAACTTCTGATTTTCTCAAAAAACCGTTCTTCAGGTTTAGTCATTTTCTTTTCTTTTTAAACCTGATCTTGTCTGTGATGGGTGCTTTCACACGCACACAAAAAATCCTTATTTGAGTCTCTTGTGTCTTGGAAGTGGGATATTTTATCATGACTTGTTAATTGGGTTTACAGCCCTCACCGGACTGGTAGTCTTGGATTTTGAAATGGAAAGTATGGTTCCGAATATTCCCATCCTAATAACAAGGCATGTTTTGGAATTTTCTCATATTGGGATAATAAAGAAAAGAAAGGAGAAATAAAATCTACAGTAAAAGTGCCTATGAAACAAAAGATGATTAATGACCATGTGTTTTGCCTACTGTGGAAAAGAATTTTTGACAAGCTTTATTTAACATTTTTTTGTTCCATTTTCTTCTTTTATCATCCATTCCCCTCTGTACTCCTTGCTCCTTTTATTCTTCTTCATCTTTGTCTTCTTTCTCTTTTGAGAAAAGGAGGAGGAGGTGACTCTTTGAATTGTACTTCAAGTCACTTTGGACTTCTGCTGAGTGAGCAGTTGGCTTTCTTTCTTCTTTGCAAGTCGCTATGTTGTTCTGTCTCAACTCCAGTTCCTACTGCTAGTGGGAAACAATCGAGGGCATAGTTGTTAGGATCAAGGGCAATAGGTGCATGAATATCACATCGTGCCCATTCTTTAGTCATAGATGGAGATCCACAAAGAGTAGTAATCTTGTCAACCAACCCCGCTGTGTCCTAGGAGCAAGGATTCTGATCTGTAGTGTTCCTTGACCTAGGTACCCTTAAGTTCTGTCATTGAAGCTGATTTCAAGATATCAATGTAAGGTAACTGAATTCAGAGTTAGGAAGAAAGACATTAGGCATTCTTCTTTGGTGAATCACTTTTATTGTTTCTTAAGCCCTTTCATGGTTGATGAAAAGATTGTAGGAAATATAAGAGAAAATCAAACATAAAAACTGCATGAAGGGTTTTGTTGTTTGTTTTTGTGAGAGATTTGGCTGAAATTGAAGGTCATCACTGAAAGAACAGAAAAACTACGTGAGTGTCCTGGAGCTCTTAATTCTGGACCCCAGGATGAGATACTATTAAAGAGTATTCTCTTCCACATTGCTAGAATTTACCTTCTAAATCATTCATCTCCAAATATTTTGCTTTCCTCTTTCTCCAAGTTTAGCATTTATCTAGCTTTTGCAGGCTGTCTAATTTATTTACATTTTATAAAACCTGAAGGGACTCCATCTTCAAAGCTGGGACAGAGGAGTGGAAAGCATGCTGAACTGTGATTATATCTAAAGGTCTTTGAGAAATTAGAGTCAAATTAGCAGTTTAATAAGGAATTTAATATCCTGGAAGGCAATTTCTTATTGACTCTTAACTAAAAACTCTTGGTTCTCTCAAAAAAGCAATTATCCCAGTTTAGTTTAAAATTTTTTTTTCTTCCCTTAATCTTCTCTGTGGCTGGAACTTTCACACTGTGAAATCCTTATCTGAGGATTCAAATAAGGCTAACATGATATTTTTCACAACTATTTGATTGAACCCATCAGATATCACAAGTTATATTTCCTATTTAAGAAGTTGGTATTAATTTATGTAGTTATAAACCCTACTATAAATCAATATCCTGCTGTGTAAGGACCCAAAAGTAGCAGTTTTCATGTAAACTAGTGCCTCCCTTTATCACAGCTTTCCTTCAGTTTGACCAATTACAGATTATGAGATCAGGGGAGAGAGAAATGAGAATGTAGGAAGAAGAATTTATTGAAGGTATCATGAGATGGAAAATATTTTGGTGATTTAAACTCTGAACAAAACAGATGGGTGCAATGACAATTTTGGTGCTGAGAATCTTTGTATCTGAGGACTTTTTAAAATCTGTTTTACTAACATTAGAAATATGTATTCTATACTATAAAAATTAAAAGAATCCCCAAATATATGTAACTTACGATCACAGTCTTACACATAAACTGTAAGAAGACATACCATAATATGAATAGGTTTGTACATATTTATCTGTCTATATAGATGTAGATATGGACTATGGATAATCAATATTCCCTTTTAGTGTCTGTATTTTGTATAATAACAGGGTATTCTATAGTACTGAAATGACAAATTGAACTAATTAAAGTAACACCAGAAGAAAAGAAAATCTTTTAAAATCTTGGCTTTATTTCTTTGTTTGGAAAGTGTCACTCTTTTTGTTATCCTCAACTTTTAAATCCTAAACCAAGAATATTTTTTAAAGTTTGCCTTTAAATTTCCCCCTGAGAAGACTCAGAGATTTTTAGAAGTGAACAGATAACGCTCCGGTGATTTCTCTTTGCCTCCCTCCCCCAAATTGAAACCTTCTGTACCCTGGGTGGCCTTGAGTCAGAGCTTCTGATGGCTTAATTTTTTTCAGGAAAAGTAGGGCAAGGTTAGTGATCAAAGGGCATGTTCGGATATCAAATGGGGTCAGGGATGGTTGAGCAGATCCATTCCATGTGGGTGGTAAGAACCAACAGAGGTTGTTAAATACGAACAAAATACACATTTATCAGAGGATTTGAAAGTGCTATACAGGTCACTTACAGCTGAAGGCAGTTTTAGTTTTATCTCATATTAAGTAAAAGTACTACATGACTTTTGATTAGGCAATGTGTGCTCATTTTGAATAAGGTAAATGGTGGGAAAAAGAAAAATTAATAAAGTTGACAATAATCTCACCCTATAAAGAAACAAAACTACTAAAATTTGGTATGTTTTCCATGAATATAGTTTTGCTTATGGATAAGAACAAAACCTTGTATCTTACAGCCTATAAGGTCCTACTTTACATCTTAACACAAAATGACATAAGAAATTCTCTATTGTTTCTCAAAACACTAAACAAATTTAAAACGTTTAAGTGCAAATTTAAAAAGTCTATTTTTTGTTTCTTTTGTATGCTCTTCCCCCTATACTATATCCCTTATTATCACCGTATTTGATTTTGCTATCCTATATCTTGTATACACATTTATATAATTTGGGGAGGGGAAGGGGAATAACAAAATGCTGAAACAAGATCACAGGATGACCCATTGCAACAGTGAGACTCACAAGACACTAT